GCATCAGGTAAGGATCCAAACCTTCACTTCAGCCCCAGCCGGGGCTCCTTGACTCTGGGCCTCAAGGGCCGATGAGGGGCTGGGGCCGCAGGCCCTGGGTGGAGACGTGCTCGGGAGGGGCTTCGGAAGCCTGCGTGCCAAGGCTTACTAGCAGGGCTCTAGGCAAAGAGGTGCAGGAGCCCTCGCCTCGGTGGCTTCTGTGGTGGGCCAGTCCTTCAGGATGCCGGGCCTTGACTTCCCTTCTAGACAAGGAGGGTAAAAGGGCTCCTGGCCCCCAGTGAAGAAAGAGGGGTCCAAGGTTTCAAGGCACAAGGGCCGGAGGGTGGGCATGGCAGAGGGCGGGCAGAGGCTGAAAAGTAGGACTCGCTGTCAGTGAGAGGTGCTAAGCGCCTCCCTCCACTCAACGAGGTCTCCATCTCTGTCAGGAGAGCCTTGGGCTACTGGCTGGGGAGCCCCCGGGGTGGGGGAGTGAGGGAGTCGGGCCCTGGGCTGCGGAGGCTGGGGCCCCAGGCCTGGGGTCTGACTCTGGAGGGCAGGGCGGGTATAGCTGGAAGGGGTCACCCAGGGGGTCAGAACTGGGCACTAGGGTGAGGCCTCCAGAGTAGCCGTGGTCTCTACCTGATCGTCCCCAAAAGTGGGGGGATGGGGAGGGGAGGGAAGAGGGAACCAAAGAGGAAGTGGGGGGAGGGAGGTAGAGGAGGCCGAGTCTGGCGCCATGCTGAGTCACCGCCCACAGGGCCCAGGGCGGGCCCTCGGGGCCACGGGCAGGGCGCCGGGGTCTCAGGGAGCCACGGGGAGGGCTGGGGGCCCTCGAAGCAGGAGTCAGGAGGAGGAGCAGGCGGCCTGAAGAGTACCTGCCGACGGACAGACAGACAGTGCAGTCACCCATAAAGTAGAAAGCACTACTAACAGCACTGGAGGGTGTAGTGTTTCCTACTTTATGGATGAGTGTACTGTGGGCTTCAGAGACCACGCCGCCGCAGCCCGCCACCGAATTCCTCCGCGTTCGGGACCGCCGTGTGACAGGTGAGCCCCTCAGGTGCCCTCCCCACCCCGCCCAGACCCCTGAAAGGTCGCCACTGCCCCCCATGGCCTGCCCCTCCTGGGTCCGGCCAACCCGGGAAATGCCGCGTCAGCTCCTCGGCTGCCCCGAGGGCCGGCAGGGTGGACGCCTGGACCTGATGCAGCTGGGGAGAGGCCCCAGTGCAGGCCCAGCCACCAGAGGACAGATGCCAGGATGAGGAAGAGGCGGGAAGGGAGGGGAGATGGAGGGGAGGGGGGGGCGTGCCTGGGACCCCAACACTAATAAAGAATGGACTCTGCTGCTGTTTTGTCTGAGACTCTGTTGCTGGAGTTGGGGGTGGGATGAATGGGCTTAGCAGGCACATGGATGCGGTGGGCACACAGAAGGGCTGGCGGCGGGGGGGAGGAAACCGCTCTCTCTCCTGAGAGAAATGGGTTTGCCTCTGCCTATGAGACCAGAAGAGGGCTCTGGGCCTGGTCGGGCCTCACCCTGAGGAGGAAGGGCATGCCTGGGCCGAGGACCTCCCTGCAAGCCGAGGAAAGTGGGCAGGACTTTGAGGGGCAGGGCTGTGAGGGGCCCTCCCGCCTTTTACCCTAGCTCTGGCCCTGCCCTGCCCTCCCTTTGCTTTTCACACCCCGAAACTGAAGGCTGCCTACCTCTAAGTTCTAATCTTAGAAAGTGTAGGGTGTCCTGTTTTTTTTGTTTTTTTTTTTTATAATTTATTTATTTATGGCTGCATTGGGTCTCCGTTGCTGCGCGCAGAGTCTCTCTAGCTGCGGCAAGTGGGGGCACAGGGCCTTCAGTAGTTGTGGCACATGGGTTCAGTAGTTGTGGCTAGCGGGCTCTAGAGCGCAGGCTCAGTAGTTATGGCGCACGAGCCCAGTTGCTCCAAGGCATGTGGGATCCTTCCGGACCAGGGCTCGAACCCGTGTCCCCTGCATTGGCAGGCAGACTCCCAACCACTGTGCCACCAGGGAAGTCCTGTTTTTTCTTTTAAACATCTTTATTGGAGTGTAATTGCTTTACAATGGTGTGTTAGTTTCTGCTGTATAACAAAGTGAATCAGCTATACATACACATACATCCCCACATCTCCTCCCTCCTGTGTCTCCCGCCCACCCTCCCTATCCCTAGGGGGTCCTGTTAGTATAAGAATTGGGCACAAACTCACCGTGGCTCGCACAAAAAGCATCGTATATGTAGACAAGGGCACAGATGCTAATACGCAAAGCATACACCAGCACATGAGTGCATTTACACAGAGGGCCCCATACACATAAGCTATCAACACATGTATAGGGAATTCCCTGGTGGTCCGTTGGTTAGGACTCTGCGCTTCCACTGCCAGGGGCCCGGGTTTGATCCCCAGTCAGAGAACTAAGATCCCACAGGCTGCGTGGTGCGGCCAAGAGAAAACACACACACACACACACACACACACACACACACACACACACATTTACAGTGGTATATATACACGTGACATGGCCGGCATGTCACACAATGACACCCAGGATATACCCACACTCAGGACACATACATCTTCAGTAGTACACACACATGCAGTGATATAAACACATATGATGTGTGTCACAGATAAAAGAGCATACGAATACACACATGGTGACATTCACATAATAAACACATTGGTTCCGTACACATACGCATATAGTGACACGTTCATACATGATAAATATACAGTAGAGACATGGTTATATATATATATCTAGATATATAGATATCAATAAAACCATGTCATTTATGTCATTACATATTCTCATGACTGTATGAGAGTGTGCCATTATATATTGTGTAATGTCATCCATATACATTTATCATGACATACGTGTTGTAATTTATACACTCACACAATCATAGCCTCACATATACATCCCAGCACATGACACTGTGGCAAGGAGATAATATACACAATGGCACATACACAGAAACATGCATACCTATATACCCAATGAGACCATAGACATATAATAGCATACATGCATACATACATGTATCTGTGTATGTATATAAAATAATAGTGTCCCCCCACACATATAGAGACAAATTTATGTCTATCCTGTATATGTGTACTGTAGACACACATGCACCCTGACATAAACATCAGCGACACACATCATGAAGTGGTGCACATATTGATCTGTGCACTGATTTAGGGAAGTGAGGAGGTCACCTCTTTCTTCTGCCCCGCCCCCCTGCCCCGCAACAGTTCCATCAGCTCTGGCCTGGGTGGAGCCCACTGTCACCGGCTCTGTGGCTCAGTGCGGCGGGTGCTATTCCACAGGGGCACCACACGGGGGCCCCCGACCTTAGGCCAGACTGGCTTGAGTCTCAGGTTCAGGTGGACTGAGTCTCAGGTTCAGAGGCCTCTCTGAGGCCCTTGCCGACATCCGTGTCTCTGGGGACTCCACCTAGGCCTCTTCCCCCATATAGAGGCTGGCTTACGGGTCTGGGAGTTCCACATCCTTGTCCCCAAATGCCATTTTCCCATAGCAAAAAGGCCCAAGACTAGACAGAAGATGAGCTTCCTGACAGTCTGGGGCTAAGCCAGCCCAACAGGCCGCGTAGCCTTCCCTGCTGGCCCGAGACGGCCAGGTTGCCCCCAAAATGCAACCTGCCAGGAGCAAGCGAAAGCAATTCCCTCAGCCTATTTCCACCTCTGTCTCTTTGCTTCTATCTTCTTGTTGTCATTACCTTGATTTCCCTGTCTCTCTCTTTGTTTCATCTCAAATCCCATCTTTTCTATTCCTGCCATTCTCCATGGCTGGATCCCTTGTCTATCTGTCATACCAACTCCTGTCTCTGTCTCTACCTGGCTTGGGCTGGGACTGATGTGGGGAGAACTGTCTGCAGCCCCCCTGTCTCTGTACCCTGGAAAATGTGGGTGTGTGTGTGGGAGGGGTGGGAGGTCACATGTTGGGGGCACTGGGCCGAGATCCTGTAAGGAACCTGCTCTTCCCTCTGTCCCGACACTGCCTGCCGGTCCAGCCCACCAGTCCAGCGCCATCACCATGGAAACCAGCAGCCGACTTCCTATTGGTGGGCAGGAGGGGAGGGGGGAGGGGAGAGCTGGCTCTCCCTCGCTCACCCCCTTATTCTGAGGCTCAGCCCTCCTCGGCGCCCACCATTTCGGGGCTCCGGGACTGTAGGGGACCCTTCCAGTCCCCAGAGCCGAGGCCAGCAGGGACAGAGGCTATGAGGCAAGCAGCCCACCGACCCAGGCCTCCTTAAGACCAGACCAGCCGCCTAGCAAGCTGGCGAGCAGCAGCGGAGAGAGAAGGAGATAAAGGACCACAGCAGACCTTTGGGGATCACCCCAGCAGCTCCTGTGGACCCTAGCCAGGCTGAGGGATCGTGATGGATGGTGAGACTCACGGACGCTGACGGACACACCATGACAGCGATGCACACAGCAGCACAGCACTGAGACACTCAGACACAACCGGTGACAGCATCACACACTGCCACAGCCCTGCAATACAGACAGCCACACACAGAGACACAACTGGTAACTCTGAAACAGGCACAGACAGTGACACACAGAACCACTACCCCCTGGCACGCACAAGTGGGGGAACCCATCCTCCAAACACACACAGCAGCGCTGACCGGCACAGGCAGACCTGGAGACACACGCACACCCTCACCCGGGCACTGCTGTCGGTGGCCTCTGCACATCCTCCCCACCCCCACGGGGACACCCTTGCTCCTCCACACACTTGCGCGCACACAGAGCCACGAACAAACACACCTCGCATACCCCCAGCTCAGCTCTGGCAGCCCCGACTCCTGCAGCCTCCTTTGTGGTTGAGGAAGAACTCAGTCAACCTTGGATGGAGCTTCGGTGAAGCCAAGAGCTCAGAGAGGAAAGGGTCTGGCCTGGCGTGACTCTCACCAGCCCCTCCACCTGGCTGGGTGATGTCCCCCCGCCCGGGTCCTGGGGACCCTTGGCAGAACCATGGAGCAACTGACACCCCTCCCCCGGCCGGGGGACCCCGGAAACATGGAGCTGTGGGCACTGCCTGCCTGGCAGAGCTGGACTCCAGGCCAGGGGGGCGAACCTGGAGGTACATCCCCAAGCATTGCCGATACTCCGGCAGCTCTTCGTGTTGGAGAATTGAGGCCTGAGGAGAGCTCCGAGCCCGAGGGAGCCCGAAGCCCCGGGTCTGTGGCGGGCATCCAGCCTGAAAGAACAGAAACTGGGCTGCCCAGCCCCGGGCCGGGAGCACTGAGCTCTGGACTCAGCTGCCAGAGGCTGGAGGGCAAGGAGGTGGAGGCTTTCTCTAAGGTAAGGGTGCTGTGGACGGTTGGGGTCTGTGAGGTCGGGGATCTCACCATGCCCTCCAGCCTGGGCGTGACACATAACTTCACTGCCCACCTCTCTTCTCTGGGCCCATCTCTGACTGTGGGTTCGTCTCTGTGACTGTCTGTCCTCCCTTCTTTGGTCAGGAATCTCACTGGTTCCGTTTTTTGCCATCTGTCTGTCCTTCTGACTCTGCCTTCTCTGTCTACCTCTGGCCCACCCCCTTCCCCCTCCATCTGTGAGCCTCTCTCTGACTGTCTGTCTGTCTATGTCTGTCTGTCTCCTCTGCAAGTCTCTGTCCTTGGGGGCTGGAGGATGCTGGGGGCGTGTGGAGGTGTGTGATGGAATCAGAGTCCAGAGGAAGCAGATTCAGGGGAGGGGGCTCAGTGCTGCGCTGAGCCAGGGAGGACAAGTTTGGGGGTTGGTGCGGGCAGTCTCCTATAGAGGATGGAGGGACCAGGCCTTTGGGGGACTCGGGGGCCCTGAGGAGCCTGGAGGAGTGGGGATGGGAGCTCGAGCTGGCACTTCCCAAGAGGGGAAGATGGGCAGGGATGGGAAGAATTGAGGACTAGCAGACAGGGTCCCAGGGTTGGGGGACGCTAGTGCCGGCAGGCAGGACTGAACAACCCCCTCTCGGTCTCCTGTGCTCCTCCCGAAGGCCTGAACTGTGCGGGGGAAGCTTCTTGTCTCCATGTCTCCTTGGACTGTGGAGGGGGAATGCTTCCCTATGGAGGGCTCTGATTTCCACAGGTAGGGTGGGTTCCTGAGTCGCTGTGCCCTGTCCTTTCCCATGCCAGGGCAAGCTGAAAATGGGCTTTGGGGACAGGCCCCGTCTGGAGCTGCTGAGGGCCGTGGGGGAGCTGCAGCAGCGCTGCGCCATCCTTAAGGGGGAGAACCAGATGCTGGTGAGGCTTGGAAAGCGAGTCCTGGGTCCTGGTTGGCGCGGGGGGTGCAGACCCAGACACGCCAGGCCTCTGCCTCGGCGTGCTTCTCATCCCATGAGCATCATCGCTCCAGGTGGGAGCTCCATGGAGCGGACATGACCCCGAGACCCGGCGAGGGTGAACCCCTACCTAGAGTTGCCAAGGACCCCACTGCGAGCCCAGGACTCTAGCCCAAGGCCCGGGCTGTCTGGGATTGGGTCTGGGGGTGCTCCCCACATGCCCCAGTTCTGGCTGACCCCTTGTCAGAGGAGGAGCAGCTTCCCCGAGACGGAGGAGAAGGTGCGGACACTGAGGCGGAAGAACGCAGAGCTGGCGGTCATCGCCAGGCGCCTGGAGGAGGGAGCCCGGAAGCTGCAGGAGACCAACCTGCGGGTGGTGAGGCTGGGGCGCCACTGGATGGAGGAAGAGGGGCGCCAGGGCTGGGCCGGACGGGGTGAGGCTTGGGGGTCACGGACTCTTAGCACCTCGGAAAGCAGGAACCCAGGGGCTGAGGTGTAGGACGAGAAAATGCCAGCCAGGAGGCTGAGGGTTTCTGGAGCTACAGGAGGGAGGGAAGGGCTGGGCGGGGAGTTCCTGAGCAGGCGCGGAGCAGGAGTCTGGATTACCACGTGCTGGTGCTGGCTGCAGCCTCCCGCTGAGCTCATCTCTGGGTGAGGATCTGCTGGGGGCAGGGATGAAAACCCATCACAGTGGCAGCCCTCAGTTAGCAGCATCCTTTGGGCCTAAACTAGGATGTGCAGTTAACCCTTTCACTCCCGCTTGAGGATTGCAGGGATTGGGTCAAAGGGAGGCTGTTGGTCTCCTGAGGGTAGGTCCAGACCCAGGGTAGAAGCAGGAGGCCACACTTCTAGGTTTTCATCCTAACCCCTCCTGTGAGGGGAGCTGAGGATTGGGGGACTGCCCCAGCCCTCAGATGACTGTTGGCCTTACCCCTCCTCTGGCCAGGTGAGTGCTCCCGTGCCCAGTCCAGGGGCCAGCTTGGAGTTGTGCCGGAAGGCCCTGGCCCGCCAGCGAGCCCGGGACCTCAGCGAGACAGCCAGTGCCCTGCTGGCCAAGGACAAGCAGATTGCTGCCTTGCAGCGGGAGTGCAGGGAGCTGCAGGCCAGGCTCACCCTGGCTGGCAAGGTGCGAGGAGGCCCTGGTCACCCCTTCCAGCTCAGCCCTACACAGGGCCGCCTGCTCGGCAGTGTGGGATGTGGACTGAGGTGTTAATGAGATGCAAATAAAGAGAGAAGGTGGAGGCTGCTGGGGAGTAGGTTCCCCTGGCAACGGCCCAGGTGGCAGCGGGGAGAGAAGGATCCTGAACCGAAGGGGGTGGAGCCATGAGTCCCAGACCTGGGAATTTCTGTGCTCCAGGCTTCAGGCTGCATGCCAGGTGGGTCGGACTGTATGAATCCACACATACCTCACACTGGTGTGAAGCGATGTTCTCAAGGCATTTAGCACCGTGCCGGGTACGCCGTTGAGTGCCCAGTAAACGAGTTCCCGGGAATATTTGCACACGGGCTAGCGGAAGCATGTGGCTCTCTAAGCATGCATCTATGACCAGGCATGTATGCATGGGAGGATGTGTACCTTCCCCCGCCCCGGAGCCCCTCCAGTCAGGCGGAGGGCGGGCTCTGCTGGGCATGGCGTGGGGCGGGCAGGGCTTAGGCCCGACTCCCTTCCTTTTCCCGCGACTCCAGGAGGGCCCCCAGTGGCTCCACGTGCGGGACTTCGACCGGCTCCTGCGGGAGTCCCAGCGGGAGGTGCTGCGGCTGCAGAGGCAGATCGCCCTGCGCAACCAGAGGGAGCCGCCCCCGCCGCCTCGGCCCCCAGGCAGGGCCGCCCCGGCCAGAGCAG